ATCAAGATCATCGACAAAGTCTTATTCAAAACAGTAAACAATCATGCTCCTGCAAGTCCTTCGTGGCACTTGAAAGGCTCGGTAATTAAGAGCTGCTGCATGTTAATTCTCGTTAACGAAGAACATCCGATAAAAAATTTTCTCGTGGTGCCAGATGCCGCTGCACCGTCTGGCAGCTCGACAGAACGAAAATATGTTTTTTTTTCTGTTTGCAAAAAATGATGTTACTTTTGTTTTGCAAACATAAAACTTGCAATTTCTGTTTTGAAAGCAAATTAAATTCAGTTACCGCGTCTACCGTTTATCAGGAATTTTTTTACCGAGAAGAGTTGCAGGGAACCTGCTGCACGAACGTGCATGTTGAATTTACGAGATGTTCTAATTCTGCTCACGTACATTTTTAAACTTATATTTTATTGGGAGTATAACCTAAGAAAACATAAATATTAACGAACAAGTTAAGAGTTGTGAGAGTGAGAAGAATAACACGACATCATCATAAACTACACAGTTGAAAAAACGCACGCAGACAGAGCCTAACCTAGATTCAACGCAGAGAACTTGTCAGTCTAAAATTAATTGCAAACAAAAAGTACATGGGAGATAAAAAAGTAACCAACAATAAATCTTGAAGTTATCAAACAGAGTGCTTGCAAACTAAGCATACTAATATTGCACGACACTTGAGGATTAAAATTTATATCCATAGACGCCATCTTATTTTCACTTGGATTGGGTTGTTCTCTATTTACAAAATATATGAATTTTATGAACAACTACAATTTAAGTGAATGAATAAATTCGAGAGAATCTATGAAACGTTCGCAACATAAGACGTAAAGTTCGTCGCGAGGAAACTGAAAGTTAAAACTATTGGCCTTTATTTTCTACGCCTCTGATATAGAGTCCAAAATCAATCGTGTTACACTAGACATAAATCGACAAGCATTAGGAATTAAGATCAGAAAATATTGTTCAATGTTTCGTAAGTTCTATCAACAACATTAAATAAGCATAGTTATAAATCAACGTAACCTCCTATCCTAGTGCACGATGATCGGTACTGATCAGAACCCAAGAGGTCGCTAATAAATAGCTAATCGACAAACAAAACACACTAGGAACTTATCAACAATGACTAGAACAAATAGGACTTGCAATGCTGAGAATTTGACCAGACAGAAGGATACGGCGCTCGCATTGGTCAACGCGATTTAAATGGAGTAGCGAAGAGCTTACCAAGTTTCCTGTAGTTACCCAGATCCACCAAGATACAAAAAAGTTCACTGAGTCGAAAGCAGCCGCAATTAAATCAACTATTTAAAATAAATATACTTTATAAGTTTTTGTTTTTCGCCGCAAGCGCCAGCAATTATAAAGTAACGGAAGAACGGCCATCTTTGGGCAACAGTTAGACATAACCGTTTAATGCGAGTGTGGGAGCCACAACGGCGTTTGTTCGTCGTCGGTAAACAGAAGTGGTCGCCAGAACGGCCGTTCCGTAGACCTACACAGCACGACAACATGTACAAGCTTCACACCTAGACAAGGTCATATGGGACGCCTGACGCAAGCTTAAGCGTAAAAACAGTAGCAGGCTCTCGCAAACATATTCAAATAAATCATCATAAAACTCAGGATTCAATACAATTAAAATAACTTAAACTCATATATCAGTTTATAATACTCAACGGTAACGAGATGAAAAAATACCCAGAATTAAAGGCAACTGGCAAGAGTAACGCCGAGAGTTGATATAAACAAAACAAGAAAGTTATCTGGAAATTAGCTACTTTGATCAATGCGTTCAAAGTTATTGAAGAGATTCAAACCAAGTCTGTAAACTTCTTACGGCAGTTCGGAAAGATTCGATCAGCCAGGTATTTTCCACTAAAAAATTAAAAACAAACTAAACCAAGACGTAGATACCGTATCCTAGCTAGTCTCTGTCTACCAGAAACGCCGCAAATAAATTATAATAAATATACATTTTTAAATAAATATGCGATAAATGAACTCAATTACAGGTCACATATAGACTTGTACCAATTTCTGCATAATACCACGAAAATAACGATATCCTAACAAAAAAAACGGGCATTCTTGTAACCGTGCAAAACAATGTGGAGAAAATCACTTGAACTTACTAAGTCAACACAATGTGATCCAGGTCGAAAAAAAAACTCATTAAGTAAGCATTAAAACTCAAGTTATTATCTCTAATAATACGCCAACTATAACTAAGCGTACAAACAAAACACCAACTCGATGATCAGGAGACTGCAGCAAAGTTCCGAAGTCATGAACGGCAACTTCCTATAGGGTCGCAACCCTCGCACTGGAAGACCGTCACTCAAAACGCGTCCGCACAAACCTCAAGTCATAGTGAGCATCGCCGTGACAGGTCACTGAGGTCAGTGACTGTACTATCAGAAATAGTTAAAAATTCGTAACTCCTTCTGCCAACCAATAACTGACGCTTTTCAAGATAGACTCTTATCACAGAAAAAGAATAGGCAGCTAAGTGAGCTGCAACGAATTTCAATAGTACGGCCTGTGATCGCAGGAGGAAGTTCATCAGATAAGATGTCAAGAGTTTAGACTCACTATGTCTGAATGGAAGTCTGTGTGCCAGAAATCCAAAGTTATATTATTCGTCTCGTTAATCGAATAGTTGTGAGGACGCGACTTGAGGGTCGGTCGGATCTTACGTAACGACATCGAGAAAACAACAAGGAGACACTTACATCGCAATGCTGTCAATCACGTCGTCTACATTACTAAGAAAAGCTTTATTTGGAGACAAGATTTGTTTGGGTTACGGGCTGGTGCCAGCCTATCGGTCACTCACTCAAACGAAATCCATAAAAATTTGCCAATTCTCACGTAAGTTTATCGAAAACCCTCTACTGATATCGATTTGACCCACACTGAATTGTTGTTATCAGGTCTTCGTTGACCGTTTTTCGACTGATCAACCAATTTCACCTCGATTACAAACTTTCAATGACGTTCAACTGAACGTCGGAGCGATGCTGTGCACCACAAGTCTGGTGCAGACCACAATAATCATAATTATAACATTGAGAGAACTGGAAGGAGGGAGGATAGCAACAAATAAATTCAATGACAGTAGCGCAACAACGGGCAAGCAGACCATGGAGAAGTTTGTGCAATATACAGAAGACGAGTGAGAGATGAAATACGTAAAACAAATGGACGTTGATGCCGCGGTCGTTGCAATCACTTAGGGCAACGACACTGGCATGTTAAATGCTACGAGCTACACTTAAGCCTAGACAGCTCTGAGAGCAACACCACGAGCCACCGACGACAGGCATGAGCGCTTAACACGAATCACCTTCACAATGCTTACCAAATTCCCAGTGAGGTTTTGCAACATTTAATAATCGAATCTAGGTCGAAATTCAAATAGTTCCATAAAATCATGGCTCTAGTAGTCGAAAAAAATTCCGTCTGAAATTTAAAAACACTACACATGCTTTAAAACTTTTTTTCGACTATAAGCACCACGACAGAAATGAGCTACCGTGAATGATGCTTCATGACCCATCAGAAGTTGACACCTGCAAATCTTCCCCGCCAAATTAGATAAAGATTATTGTGAGACTTGATTATTTTGAACAAATTCCTTGAAAAAAATAGTGGCTACTTCAAAAGATTTTATGCTCTGATTCGCAGACGACTTCAAGTGCAAACTTTTTCCTAGATAAAATTTGCCGTAAATTGTTTGCAGTTAGGATTGATAACCGAGAGCACTGATTTTAATAGATAATTAATATTCGACGAAGTTATTGTCATCGTGATCAGCACCAAAATGTTCAGCGAAAAGGGACCTCTACCCACGAGATATGCATTAAACAACACCTCATTTTATTCTAAGCAGTGCAATGTCAGGGCAGCATGGCTTCATGAAGTTTCCATAAACCGGAACTAACAATTTTACCCCACCACGTTACCCCTATAAAGAAATAACGCGTCCCTGAATTACTCAGGGTGCTTCTCTATTACTTCTTAAGCAAAAAGCAACAGTAAAAGTCTGCAGCTCCTGATATGGTCAGACTCGGTATTCCAGCACATGGACATCCTCGTTACAGTAAACGGAAAATACATTATAAGAGACACTATGAAGAGCGTTGGTTGCTAAGCTCCACGTGACATCAAGTGGCAAGGAACAATGTACTTCATATGTCATCTAACCACCACTTAAGCAAAGAGTGTAGTAGCCGACATTATACATCAGCACCCAAGACGACACTAGCAGTGCTACACAAGCTTAACTTAGACCAGCACACAGGCTACCCTCTATTCACACACATGCTTAGACATAGCAGTAATGGTAACCACGAATAATCTTAAGTAAAATTGTTACACTAAAGTCTTTCAGTGAGCATTAGATGCCACAAATTATGACAAACATGAAATCTATGCAACTCCAAAAATTCGAATGAATTCTTACAACCGACCACAGTCGGATGTCCATGTCAAACACAGCCAGCCTTGTTCCAGCACCATCTAGGAAATTCCATCATGAAGCAAATAAATAGTGCGAAGTCAGTGTGGCTAAAGCATAACGTTATTGCTCAGATTTTTTGACGTTTTTTGTTGACGGCTGGTGAGAGCAACAACAATTTCAGATCAAACTACCAGTAATAATACATAAAATAAATTCAAATTCAATTGGAGAATTGGAATAAAGGAGCAATTTTAATAACGTCACAAAGGGAGCAATCTTCAATAGAGTATTGGAAAAAATGAGCTTAGCAGAGAGGAAGAGGGAGAGGTGTTTGCAGGGCAAGAGAAAAATAGCGACTTGCGGGAAGATGGACTCAGCCCCTACGAGTTTGTATTCAAATTGCAGAGCCACGTTCATAATGGAGGATTTAATTTTAGCGACATATGTTTTAGGATTGGAAAATGCTCGAATCAAGAGTGACACTGAAGTTGACGACGTAGCGAATTTTTTATGTAGTTGACACATTTGAGGAGTAACCTGAAATGAAACCCCTGTATTATAGCCTTATAGGTAACGATAATAGCAAACCTGATTTGGCTATTTTTTCAGGAATATCCAGCTGTAGCACAAGAACAAGGCTGTACACAAGACACAGCAGCTGCAGCAACAGACGAGGTAAGGGAGCAGCAGCAGCAAGGCAGGGGCACGGCAGGGGTAGGGACGGAGCGCACCGCGATGTTCCTGTTGCTGCTGTTGTTTTCCTTTACGCATTGCCATGTGGTTCTTTCTTCTTTGGTTCACATACCGAAGTGTTAATTGCGCCACTGTTTGTTCCTTCGGAATAATTCACTATCACAACTTACGGCCAATATTCGGCATTTGTGTCTAGTCCCTTCCATGTTCTTGCTGACATAACAAGAGAACCACGTAAATAATTTTGCTCCCTACACTTACCCATCTAACATTTACCACAAACTAGCTCACCATTCTTATTTCATACTCACTTGCTCACCTCGGACACTATAAACCCACTCATCTCACTTACTGAACAAACACCAAACACTAACACGCGCATCTTTTCCACACGCAAACTCACTATACACATGCTAGCCTCAGGTACACCACACACGTGACTCATAAACACCACAAAATCATTAACCTCACTTACACCACACACTCATCAACAGCATAAACACCACACCCTTAGTTGACATTTGCCTGACGTACATCACACACCTTGCTCACGAACACCACGCATTCCATACGTACAAAACACACTTACTCTTCTCACTAAACAATGAAGCTCTTAAGCTCAGCTGCCACACGACCGAATGGGACCCTACAAAGCAGCGAGTTCTTGTACACGAAATGAGCCTGAACGGACAAAAATGCATATGTATAACGAAGAATAAAAACGCAGCGTTCATGATTCATTGGCTGCGTGTTACAGAATTGCAGAATAACCCACCCATGGAATTAGATACGAAGGCAAATGCAAGTTTCATTAATGGCAGCTGATGTGAAATAAATATAAAAACACAGCCAGAATGCAGTCATTAGTCCAAAAATGAGGTAACATTAAATCGAAGATACTGAGTTTTGCAATAAACCGTTGTGTGAATGCCAAGAGGTTGCCATGAAAAGCTGTTCTCTGAGAGCAGCTAGCGCACGGTAAATCTTTATGAAACAATGAGAGCATCACAAGCCCGTTACTAATAGAACAGTAATGCCTTAAACGTACGCACATATAAAGCTTCACTACACACATAGCAGAGCACCATTAAAGAGACACAGATAGAGAAGAGCTTAGAGATGTTCTGATCGCTGTATACAGTGGGTACTGATGATGTGTGTCTGTGAATCACTTCGCTGCAGCACCAATTCCGTGTGTTGTACCGGCACACCAAGACTGCTGCCACTGCTGTCATCCTTCTGTTCCTCGTGGTCACTGTTACTGTGCTGTAGCTGTGCCTGTTGCTGCTCACTGTTGCTGTGCTGGTCAGACTGCTGGATGGCGTCTTGTAATATCTGGTCGTGGTTAGGATGTCGCGTCCTGAGGTGCGTCTTTACATGGCCCGACTGGTTGAAGCGCTGCTGGCACAGAGGACACTCATAGGGCTTGGCTCCAGTGTGGATGAGTTGATGTCGCTGCAGGTTGAAGCGAGAAGTGAAGAACTTGTGGCAATGTTCACACTCCAGGAGCCTTCGCATTGAGCCTCCGCTAACGCCCACCTCGCTCTTGATGAAACAGCCTTGCACTTCGAGTATAGTTCCTTCTGATGTCGTGCCATTGTTGATGTTGTTTGATACGCTACAGACCGTGCTACTAGTGCCGCCGCCGCCTGCCGTAACAATAGCAGCACTGGAGCCAGCAGACGAGCTGTTGCTGTTAGCGGAAGCGGCAGCAGCAGCAGCAGCAGCTGCGGCTGCAGCAGCAAAGTTAGTCATGTCGATACAACGCGCCTCGTCACACACCCCGGCAACACCAGCCTGTAACACAAGACAACTCCCGTCAGTCGGTCACTGCCTCCACAACCTAGCCGGTTCAACACTATGCTTCCCCGCTCTCCGTAAAACTGACTTTACTCAAGGATCTTTTTCACTGTAAATTACGGTCATCAGCGATATTTCATTCTTTGATTCTTGCCTAATCGGCTTGAAAAATATTCCAAGAAAAATTTAAATTCATTCAACTTTAGACTTCAACATTTTACCTGTATTTAATTCACATCGGCACAAAATTAAATCTATTAACTTCAACTCAAGTTAGAGAGCAAAGATTCGCAGTGAGAGCAGGCAGAGTGTTTATTCGGCTAGGTAGTGAACGAGTATGAAAGCGTTAACAAGAGAGACTCCACTGATAACATGAAGCACTCCATTGAGAAGGAGAGACTGCCTTAACCACTAGCACATTTGGACAGCAAAGGTACGTAATTATAATGACAGCAACGTGTGATTAGGAGTAGTCTTATGTGTACGGCCGGGATGCACCCACACAGAAATATTCCTCATTGCTGAGACACTTTCCAGCCTCTTATATACTACAGTCAAGATCGCCTTGAGCTTAGCACACAATAGATACCAAGAAACGCCTTGAACTTCTCTTTCAATAGGCGTGAAGAATCGTCGCGAACCTTTTATACAAGAGACTTCTATATTTCTGAAGGAACTGACATAGTGCCCGGACAGAAGGCTATCTAGGTAGTATGCTGTGGATGGACGCATCCAACGACTGGTTCAAGAATCAACAGCCGAAGCAGGCGACTGCATTAAGCGCTTAGATCAATGGCCGCGCGATCTCGACCCAAAATCAAAGTCAATACGGGTATGTAATAACGTGAATAGTACATTATAAATAGCAATGCATATGTCAGCAAAAAAATAAAAAGTTAAAACGTTAAACGGCAATTGATGAACTTTTATCTTACATGGCATCCTAAAAGGCCAACAAAAAGTTTTGAGAAAAATGTCCTGGCAGAATGTACGGCTAAATGTCATGTACATTCTAGTACGCGAAGAAATATAACACTTAAACATTGAGTACTTTGATAAAAAACTGCAATGATAAAGAGTTGAGAAGAAGGTACACACCCCAAGAGAATGTACTCACCTCAAGACGTACGACTCAATAAAGTTATCACCTCAAGAAGTAGGTACTCACCCAGAGGTAGAGGTAGGTAATGTTCCCATAGGTAATTACTGCTCCTGATAAGGACCACTCACCCTGGCGGTGGGCGCGTCATGAAGGGCGTGGTCGCTGAGCTCCTCCGCGTGCAGCGCCAGGCCAGGGATGCCCAAAGAGACGTCGCCCCCTGAGCTCCCCACCCCCGTGGGTGGAGGAGGAGACCCCACGTCCCCCCCGTCACCCCCGCTGAGGTGATGTGAGATGGGGGAAGGAGAGGAAGGACTGTGAGGAAGCATGTGGTTGTGTTGGATGTGCAGGGGGGAGTGATGAACCACGGACGAGGGATGGTGAGGGGAAGTGATGCATGAGGATGACGGCGGTGTGGGGGTGGAGGTGGAGGCAGGGGGGGCGTCGTCGTAGCTGTGGCTGCTACTGTTGCTGTTCGGTTCCCATGGGTCGCCCGTCAGGTTTCCGCTCGGCTCCAGCTTAATACTCTGCACAAATATATTAATCATTGAATTTTGTCAGACACTGAATTGCAACTGAATTTGGAGCAAATACGTTTTTCATGCACCAGCAAATAATTGATCATCGAGGAAAGTTAAATAAATGAAACAAACTTAAAGTATGCATGAAAGTCTGGAAAATGTTAGTAAGGATTTCTTAAATCTCCCATCCAAGCCTTGCCCTCAAACACAAAAAAAATATTTTTTGCTGCAGAAATACATAGATTCATTGAGTATGTTTTGTAGACCAAACAAATCAAAAAGATTTAGTTAAAGCTAGGCTTACTATAAGAACCAGCGGAGGAAATGCACCATTCAACACTTAACAAGAGCTTAATGAAAGGAGAGATAGAGAAGACTTTAGTACCAGCAAAGCAGGCCTAAAGTTCTCACCATCTTGACCTCGTGTTTATCATCAACAGTGCAGGGCTGCGCAGTGACGGCTGATCCATCATCACTGCTGGCGTAATGGTCAGCGGCGCTGGTGTAGATTACCTCCCTGGCGGACACGGTGGCCTCATCCCCTGGTCCTCCTCCAACGCGGCCAACATAGATGGCCGTGCCAGCCACGGAGTATAAAACGGCGTCTGAAGTCGACAAGGCGGCGCCATGATGGCTGTTGTTGCTGTAGTTGAGGTGGTCGAGGTGTTCGTCGCCGGGGTTGACGGGAACAAGCACCACTTGCGAGGGGCCTGATCCGTTAACGCCATTACCCCCACCACCTGCGGTGTTAACGACACTTTCCACTAACCGATGGGTAGCTGCGTTGCCGGGGTTGAGGTCAACAACAACGCTGTTGTTAACAGGTCCACTGCACGCCACAACAGTGCCTGTTTTCCCATCAAGGTCTTTGTCTCTTAACATGACACTTCCATTAGAATTGGTGCCCAGGTAGGCAGGGCTGTAGGTAGCGTAGTGCGGGGCTTCTATTCTTTTCCGCTTCACACTTGGTGTGGACTGGATGTACATTGGAGACCCGTGTAGTGTAGGGCCATTGTTTGTGGGCTGGCTTAATTGCTGCTGGGCACTTAATCTTGGTGGAGATGCCAATCTTTTATTAGTACAATTGGAATGTTTTTCAGAAGGCTTCTCAGGCTCCGCGAGTCCCTTGATTTTAAGGTTCTCAGCTGTACTGATGAGAGAGGCAAGCTCTGCTTGCGACACGCTCACCTGGAGAGACGTTGGTTGAGCATTAAACAATATTACATGTAGGTTCCAGCTAAGACATGTATGATTAAATGGGGGTAATATTATACTAAGAAAAATTGACACCAATTCATCCCAAAGAGTTTTATTTTTAATATGATCGATGTAGAAAAGTATAATATAAAAAGAATGAAAATTCATTCCTTTGTCTAAAATTGACAAAAAAAATTTTCCCAACATGATAATGCATTTATGTACCTATCTATTATCAGCTCGACTGGTCTTAACAGACTCAGACAACAATATTATACAAGAGTCACAACTCTTAAATTAAAACCTGGAATAACCTCATAATTTATTAAATGCAACAGACCTAGACACATAAAATCAGACCATATTCTACATTAAAAAATAAAATAAATAAATACGCTTTAAATGCAATTTTTGCAATTTTTTACTATAGATAGAAATTTTTTAGCAATAAATTCTAAATTTATTGCTGAGATATCAGTAAATAATCTCACCTCGCCCTTGTAAATGAACTCAATGAGTGCCTCCATGTCATGGCTCTTGACATCCTTGAGGAACACAATAGGATGCTTGCAGGGGTTGCTCTGGAAGAGGGTCTGCAGGAACAAGGTTATCATCATTATACATGAAAATTTTGAGACCTCAGAATATGGTTTTGTTTTAGCATAGACGTCATCTGTTTTTATCCTCTCATGTTTTTTTTGGCCACTTGTAACATGCCCTCGAAGTTCGATCTGAATGAGACTTGAGACACCATGACAATCTCTTCGTGGAATAATAATAATAATGGTATTTTGTACACATTTACACAGTTGTCATCATTAAATTTATGCCAGAAACAATAAAATTATTACTTTTAATATTTGTCATAATAATAATGCTTACAATATCATATTATCCCAGCAACAAGGGTAGGTATAATTCTATATAAAACTTTTAGCAGCCTCTTCCCAGGAGATATAATTTAAATATATTTAGATGGTTGCTACCAGTGAATTTATGGCAGAAACATTCACATCATAGCTAACATTCAGTAAAATAATAATAATTAAAATATCATATTATTCAATAATATGATATTAATATCTTCTTTAGATCTCAGACTAATTTGATGTAATAGATAACTTATTTTTAGCATACTCATGGAAAATAAATTAAATTACCTTTATATATTTGGCTAATATTAATTTTATTGTTAACTTTACTAGGTATATTATTTGTTTTTTTTTCAACAAAAATCATTATAGAGGGATGTGTAAAAGCAAAAAGTTCTTGAGCACTGACTTGTATTTAGACAAAAATCTTAAATGCACCATAATTATAAACTTGCTAGGCCCTAAAAAGAGGGATGTCCATGTTGTTTACATGAAAATCCATCCTAAATAATATCAAATAACTTTACCTGTTCCTTGGTCCTTATCAGTTCCTGTTTAGAAGTACAGGTTTAGTGGCAATTCATCCAGAGGTTATTAAATAGAGTTATATATAAATCCATGATTTGATCAAAAGGCCAGTCTAGCCAAGAAAAGTACAAAAATTGGCGACAGGCCTATCCAGGCCTATTCTTCAATGTCGAAGATACCATACTATACTATGCTGTGAGCAGTGCTGCTCATAATAGCATCTCTCACAGGAAATGTTAGGTCAACCTGTGGAGTAACCCAAGCCACGAATCTGTTGGTTCATATGTTCAGCCTGCCACGACAGGTAAACTTTCTACATTGTGTAACCCAGCTAAGCTGCAGTCACCTAGTGCCTCCATGTGGCTCATCAGAAACAACCTCTGGAGCAATGTTGTGTTAGCTGCCACTCTTATATATTTCAAGTTCATGAACAACTTTTGCTCACAGTTTACTTTGATGATAATGTAATTATGATAAGATAAATAATGAGGAGAAAATGTAACTAAGACCCAGAATGTAGAGAGCAGCCACAGAACTCACTTGAAAATAAGGGGAGCAGGCAGAGAGAACAACCTTGTGGGCAGGGAATGATTTGCCATCGCATGCCAGGGTAACATCCACAAAAGCATCCTGCTCATAGAAATTGAAGATGAAATAATGTGATGGAATGAAACATTCAAAACTATATTTATAAGTTTTCTTTCAGCAACTTGATTTTTATTCTAAATGATTGTAATTAGATAAAATATAAACAACATAGTCTCCAACAAACATAACTAAAATAATGTGAGAGACTAATGTAACAAATTCATTAAAATTAAGAATTATTAGGCATTACCTTATAACTTACAATCTATAAGATGAGGAATGAATTTGTACTTGTATACAACCTCTGGGTATTGTAAGCTAAAAGCCATTAGTATATCAAGGCACAAGTGGTTCCACGTGTAATTTCAGAGTTTGACAAAGGATAGCTAGCTACATTAAGTATCATATGTTAACTAACTACAGAGGACATCTTCAATTTATGCTTTTGGTAGTCAAGATCATGGAGGACAATTTTCAATAAAAATTTTAATACCAATAGAATTTATTCCAATCATTTCTTTGCATAACATTCAGTTACATTTGAATGATCTTAGACACTGATTTTAATAAAAACACAGTTTGCCATTACATTTCCTCAATACCCAAAAGACATGAACTGACCTGAGTGCGGAGAAAGCAGAACACCTCAACCAGGTTATTTTGGTGGTTATTCCATTTGAGGAGGAACTGATCTTGATTCATGTTGAGCAGCTGTAAACAGAAGAAAAATATAAAATGTATCAAATCTTTCTTTTTCATGCAAAAATCAAAATACATTTGATCCAACAGAATAGAATCAGAAAAATTCCATTATAAAATAAAATGACTAAGAACAGTTTCAAAGAAATTACACAATAAATTATAGTGATCAAGGCCAAGATAGTTGAAGACAAATTTTCACCAATTTATCACTCTGAAACTATCTTGAGATTCATTGAGAACACAACTAATCTTTTCTTAACTTTAATAACTTTAGAGATAAGGTTTCCCAAACATTCGAGTGTTATTCATGCAATCATAGTTATTATTCTTATTTCTAGAGGGGTGAATAAATGAACCAGTACACAAACATTTTGGAACAAAATATTTATTTGCGTTTTTTGTGAAGACCTTTTGTCGTTGCTACAAGAAGACTTGGTAGTAGGCTTTATGCAATGACAGGCACTCAATACAGATCAACACGATGGAACTAACTTTGCATTTACTCACAGCAGGTTATTAGGGTTAAGAAAGAGAAAAATAAAAATAAAGATTGCAGAAACAAAAATTCACTATTGAAGCTATTTTATTTCTAGGGATACTAACTTTCATAGAGTAGCATTTCTTCTCTGTAGCCAAGTCACAAGAAGTTATAAATACTTCACTTTTACAAGCTCAGATTTCATAGTAATTGCTTGCTAAGGTGCGAGTCTAATGTTCATAAGATTCAGTGTGAGGAATGGTATTTAAGGACAGAATTGTAGAGTGAAGAAAAATGGGTAGCCACTTGCGTATGAAATTCAGTGGGTCTAGAAATGTTAAAAGAAACATGAATTGTAATTAACGTTCTATTGATTATATAAATTAGTATGAGATTTTGTTCATTTGATAGAACAGGAATTAGGCAAGAGGCCTGCTATCATCTGCACATACATGGTACATAAAAACAAAGTAATCTTTGTGCACGTGATAGGAGTTAAATGAAAATAACAACTGTTGTGGCATCTATGAAGAAGTGTCTAGGCAACCACAATCAGCCATTATCATACCTTGGTCTTTTACAGTGATTATTTGTCCTTGCTTTCTAGACGGTAAAGTATGGCACAACATATGTCCAGAACACTGAATTTGTCAGCCAAATTTTCCTATGTATGATTGAGGGGGACAACAGTTGCATAAACTTTTCTATATTTAACAATATATACATTTTGAAGACCTGGAAAGAGAAGCTATTTCAGAACATCAGTCTCTAACCATTGCTTAGAAAAGTTCCCTTGACTGGAGTTTCGGGCTTGTTATGGTAGATAGCATAGACAAAGGAAAAGTGATGCAGAGGACTTTACAGTATCGATTCCAGAGGATCAAGATGATGTATGTAAGCCAATGACTAGGCCTGAGTCAATGTCCATGATACATGCGACTGAAAGTGAATCGAGCAATGGGCTTAATTCCTCGATGGATGGATTTTTGTCATGGTTGTCAAATTCGATTTCTGTTCATTTCAGCGTTCAATAAATTTTCCCAATGGCAAATGCTAGACACAGACATGCGGTAAATGGACAAAAGCAGCATTGCCATCACTGCCAGTGGCAGAACACATACAATAAGAGCAGGAGATATCAACCCATGCAGTATTGAATGATCAATCAATAATTTGTAATCAGACATGGAAATATGTTGTCAAGATGGCTTTAAAAGATGCCATTATCTTGATGTAAATGCAATATATACCTTATACACTGAATGGTTATGTAAGATTGCAATAAGTCAAGCAATCCAATTACACTCTACCTTAGCCAAAAAAGTAAGCATTATGCACTATGCTGCATTTATATTAGCAAAAGATGTCTCAATTTTTGATGTTTGGATAAGCTTCTTTGATTTAATATATAATAATAAATAAAATAGCACTTTCAGCATTTAGTAGGCCGTAGGCCTGTCAGGCTGTCGCCGATTCTTAACATCGCAGAACATTCACAGCATTTTACGGTCTCAAACTCCCAACTTACTGCTACAATCATGCTGTGCTTAACCACCAGCCTCCTTGCCGATTCTGACCAGAAACTGGCGCACAGAGCTGGGATCAAACCCTCGCCTCTCTGTGCCAATCCTGGTACTCTGAACTGTGACTACACAGGGCCACCCTACCCATAATAGCAGTTTCAGCATTTATTAGACAGTAGGACTGTCATCAATTCTAAACATCGCAGAACATTCACAGCTAGTTGCAGTCTCGAACACACAACTCACTGCTCCAATTCTGCTGTGCTTAACCGCCCGGCCTTCTTGCCGATTCTGACCAGAAACTGGTGCACAGAGCTAGGTTCAAACCCACACCTCTCTGCTCCAACCCTGATATTCTGAACTGTAACCACTGGTACACACAAGCCCCATTTGAGGCTAAGCAAATTAGATTCAAATTTGGAATTTTACTCGTATAATCAAAAATGGCTTTATGACTGGTTAAGATAATTCATGTATAAAAAATGTATTACCGCAAAACTAATGAAAATATGACTCCAAAAGCCAAGTAGAAGGGTAGAAAGTAGATACTTCCCCTCTGAATTGAAAACAGCACAAGTTACAAAGTACAACCTGGTGATGAAAACCTCTACTCTCGTAACTGCAACTTGAGCCGTGATTTAATGCCCATGAATACCATATCCCCACCATCATAGTGGCAAACCAGAGATTTTTCAGTCAGCTCATTTTCAATTACCTTAGTCCTTATCTACTCAATATTTTAACCAGTTTCTTATGCGTAATAATGCTGGTATCCAAGATACTTACTAGTCCACTTATAGGACTCATAAATGAACTTGAGGAAGGGCAACAAATTATGTTCCCCCTTTGTCACTATTCCCGCCATAGAAAGCCATTTATGAGCCACAAACTCATTTGCAAATTCCAGTGCACATGGTACCCTAAATCTATAATTTTACCTTAGTAACAGCAACAAGAACATTTGTCATTAGGTATTTTAGAGGCAGCTGTACATGTAATGATACTGCAACATACTGCAACTATGTGATCACTGACAAAATATTTTGACACTTTTCAGTCCACTAATTATGCAGAATATTTTGGCAGGAGCATGGTACTGAACTCAGTAGAACTGCAAATGTTGAAAATTTTGTAAATGACCCATTTGTGGACCATGATTTCCTCAATTAAAAAGAAATACATTACATTAGAGCTGCAAGATTTCATACCCACTAAAAGTAAATGACATTAGAGCTGCAATCTTTTAGAAAAAAGTAGGACTTTTCTCAACTAGGTTACAAACAAGTTGGAAAAGTCCTACTTTTTCTGAAATATTGCAGTTCTAATATCATATAATATCAGTAGGTATGAAATCTCATGACTCTAATGCCATGTATTTTTGTTCGATTGAAAAAATTGCAGGCTGTCGTGAACATGCTGTTTCATGAAATGTTCAAATTCCACAATCTGCATTACTTCATCGCTCCTGCCAAAATACCCTGCAGATGCAGAACGTAATAACAAGTCAACCCAAAACATTTCCTTGAAGGTTGAGTAGTTGCAGTCATGTTAGAGCGGTCAGAGTGCATTATCACGTATTCAGTTGCCACTTAAGTGAAGACAAATGTTAGTGTTGCTGTACAATTGGACTATTTTTAAGGTAAAATTATATATTTGGGTTAACATGTGCATGCAACTTTATAAAAAAGTTTGCAGCTCATAAATGGCTTTTCATGGCCAAGATATGGAATTCATGGCTTGCAAACCCATAAAACCATGGTTCAAAAATTCAGTCGCGGCTTGACAATTAGATATACGTATTCCATGCCTGGTTACAAAGATCTGAAAACAATTTTGATATGCCTGAGAAATATTTCGATATAAAACTAGACAAGCTAATAAGGTATAAAATGAATTCAAAATATTTTCCTAAATTTTTGTAGTAATTTTACATTGCAGGGTAAACACACCATATTCCGACACCTTAAGGACGTAGCAAGAAATAAATTGCTATAAATAGATCACCGTATGCGCAACTTGAGTTCTGATTGGTTTACGTCACTCTCAAAATACCACACTATGCGCCAGCAATGATGAAATGTCACAAACTGTTGCCATATTTATTTAAAAGCCTTTAAAAATCAAATATAAAAAATCGCTGAATTCGGAAACTGTGTGCAACTAAATGCGGCATATTGTGAGACTAATTTGGACAGCGCTTCGAAATCGTAATTCGTAATTCCGACACCCTGTGTTGGAATTCCAACACCCTGTGCAACCTGTGTCAGAATACGACACCCTGTGTCACGGCTGTATATCATAATTCCGACACCATGTCAGAATTAGTTTTTATGTGTCTAAAACCGTCTCTTAAATCAATCAACTATTAATTTATTTCCCACCTAAAATCAGCAAATACAAGTATACTTAAAGGATTCCTAATATATTCACAGACTTATTTAAAAGTATCAAACCATAATATTCTTTCTACACAAACAGTTTATCACTATTTAGTAAAGCAAGGTCAACTATCAATTTTCATACATATTTTTGATGTTCTCACTAGTTGACTTGGACTTTTGCTCTGCGGATCTTAACATTTTCCTGCTAGACCTAGGGTTTTGCGGAAATCTGGAATGCAATGCGTGGAACTAAGACCAAGCTTAATATAAAGGAAAAAGTTAAGGGGTGTCAGAATTATGCACAGTGTCGGAATATGGTGTGTTTACCCTAAATGATATTTTCAACAACTTTACTACATCTTGTATGAAGAACTGGCAAATTGGTTGTTGTATGCATTATGATAATCTATGCATCATTTGCATTAGAAATTCAGAACTGCCAGTTTGGTAGCCTGGCAGGCCTAAATGGAAATCAGGCAGAATCTAGGATAAATGCGGTATATTCCAACATCGTGGGTAATTCTGACACTTCTCAACTTTTTTCCTTTATATTAAGCTTTGTCTTAGTTCCAGGCATTCATTGATGGTTGAAATAGTGACGTCATACTATTGCGTGCCATACTATTGCCAAAACACTAGGTCTGGGCCATCTGGCGGGAAAATGTTGAGATCCAAAGAGAGGCAGTGCGCATCACCCAGTGAGAACATCAAAAAATGTGTCAAAGTTGATAGTTGACTTTGCTCAACCAAATAGTGATAAACTGTTTGTGTAGAATAATATTATGGTTTGAGACTTTTAAACAAGTCTGTGAATATATTAGGAATCCTTCAAGTATACTTGTATTGGCTGATTTCAAGTGGTAAATAAATTAATAGATGATTAAGTTAAGAAACGGATTTAGACACATAAAAACTAATTCCGAGTTTCCGACACAGCTTGGAATTAGAAACACATAGCTCGTTCCAAGCTGTGTGCAAAAATTAAAATTTTCTTAATTAAAAACTTAATAGCTCTTAGGGTAAACGCGGTATATTCCGACACATTAAGGACGCATGAAGAAATTAAAAACTATAAAAAATAACTGTATGCGTTACTCTAGTTCTGTTTGCTTTATGTGACTCGCAAAACACCATACTACGTGCCAGCAACGATGAAACGTCACAAAATGTTGCCATATTTATTTAAAAGCCTTTAGAATGCAAAGTGCAAACCTACCAAATCCCTATATTCCGACACTGTGTGTGGCAATATTCGGCACGTGGTGAGGCGTATTCCGTCCGCGCTTCAAATTCTACTGATTGCATAGTGGCAAAGCAGAGAGTTTTTTAGACTCTCCCTCAAGTTCATTTTTGAGTCCTATAAGTAGACAAACAAAGTATCCTGGATACCAGCATTATCATACATAAGAAATTGGTTTAAATCTTGAATAAATGAGGAAATCAAAAATGAACTGATTCCAAAAAAGCTCTGGTTTGCCACTATGCAGCGTCGGAATATATGGAATTGGTAGGTTTGCATTCTGAAAGCTTTTAAATAATTATGGCAACAGTTTGTGACGTTTCATTGTTGCCGACACCATGGCGCGTGCCGCGTAGTGCGGTGTTTTGAGAGAGACGTAAAGCAAACAGAACTCGAGATGCGCATACGGTGATTTCTTTACAGCTATTTATTTTTTGCCACGTCCGTAATGTGTTGGAATATACCGCGTTTACTCTAGTACTCACAAATTGGACAATAATGCCAGTGAATCTGGCCAATTTCACCCATTCTAAGACTTCGTCTGATTTTTCCAGCAAAAAATAAGAAAAATGGAAATTTTTAACCAGAAATATTTCCAAATTGCACATCAAACAATCATTTTTTACTACAATTTTTTGAAAAAAAGCTACCCAAGATTCCAAAACAGGGCAGCGCCAGAACAATAATTTGTAGGGTTCAATTTCCGTTTAATAAATAAATACACTATACACAGCTGTTTGAATATCACTCTCAGATGCTTTTAAAAAAGCTGTGAGGTCTATTTTTTGTGAAAGAAAACTAAACATGAAAAAAAAAAAAACATTTCAATTGAAGGTAAGCAACGCAAATGTTGTAGCAACTCAAGTGACAATGTGGCACTGATTTTAGTCTATAATATATTCTATAACTGCTATAACACACAATTTCAAATTTCTAACCATTGTTGGTCATTCTCAATTTTTTTTCTTTTCCAGGCCACTATTCAATTAAGAGTAGGCTACAACACATTTTTATAGCCTAAGTTATCAAATGTTCGCATTTCGAATCGGATGACGTGTTGTATTGACAAATCTACGTCATGCTTCCAAATGAATCAAAGAGATGTTATCGCCAAGTGTTCAAACTGCTGATTATCTTGCTCTACTGTCACGATTCCCGCAAACATCACTGACTGAAAATTCATAACAAAGAGGAATTAAATAAATTGAACTAGAACAATTTTCCCCGATATATTCGCAGAAACTAACCTGACCAACTAATAGAATAGAACAGAATGAAAAACGCACCTTTCTAGAATTAAAATCTTCTTTGTTCCATCATAATTGTTTCCCGTACGCAGTGCCACACACAGCCCACAGAGATTACTGCTGCCATCTGGCTTACCTAACAAAAACAATCGATTCAAAGTTTTCTATGATAAATGAAATTCCATTTCACACGGGTAACTTGAGCAAAGCTCAGTTTAGCGCATTGTCCAATCAAAATCAGAAAAAGTTAGAATGAGGTCACTCGATATATAAGTCATCATCATTTGGTTGTAATTTTTTGTATTATAGTTTAAACGTACATTAAAAAAAAACTAAAATTTTTCCTCGTTCATTCAACTCAATGGTTAATAATAACGCCATCGGACAATTATTCCCGTTGCTCTCTTCAGATCGATGAATTCAACTAGCATGGATACTAGCACAGTTTGCTTACCTTTATATATGACGACACGACTCGTCACTGAATTAATTAATCTACGTGATCACTATTCGATCTGAAATTTTTCCTCGATCATGATGCGGTGGTCTCAACGCAAAATTCAAGTTAGCTCTTGTTGAATTTGTGTGAATACCGTTGTATTCAAGAATATATATTTATATATTCTTCTTATTCTTATATATTTGTGAATACCGTTGACAAATTAGACACGGCGACGGCGAGAGTAGCACTTTCTCCGCATTTCCAAAAACCGTGCTACTGCACTGTAATGCAACACAAAACTATTGGGCTTTTTAACGAGCAGTAACTGGTCGGTACGTTACGAGACCGTGTGTGACTATTCATGAAGAGAAAAATTCTATTTTTTTGAGTCACTAACTGACTTGCACTACCAAAACATCCATAAGTGTACTGCTCAATCAGAGACTAACATGTGCTCTAGGAAAATCGGGAAAAAGAAACGACGTTCTTTACCAATGCTGTATTAGAAGCACTAGCCTCCTGGAAAAAAAATAAAACTAGTATTAGACAAGTTTATTTCTTGCGTCAGGAAAGTTATCTGTGATATGGAACTGAGAGGTGGAATTCCAAAAAGTAAATACAACAGATACGGAATTTCAATCATAAAGGTGGCGCTCAGTATTATTAACTGTGCTAATTGCATCATCGCAGAAGTCTTTCGCTTTAGTAGTACGCTTTAACGAAACTAACAGTTCAATAGTGCATTGGAGTTACCAGCTTGTTATTGATGAATGCTCGTAAGAACTCAAATAACGTCAATATTCAACTATCACAAAGAAAAAAAAATAAATAGATGGCTTTACTTTCAAGTTCATAATTCGTCACGACCGAATTTGCAGTCGCAAGCTACAAAAGCAGGCTCACCTGTCCGTCATCTTGCACACTAGCGACGAGGACCTCCAGCGTTGGGCTGTACATAGACACAAACAATGAGAAAATGGAAATAGCTCTACAGAAAATAATCCAAAATATGCCTAAAAAAATTATTCCCAATCAAGAATAACTTACAATACACTAAGTACAGTAGGGAGTTGATTGATTTCTTTGGGGCACATGTCGGTACAACAGGATGAAAAATTTGCAATGAGCTATCTATTTCCGCAATGGTATTGTAGCGAACCTAGATATTACGACTTTTAATAAATATATCCTTTTTCCTCTGACTTGGCAACACCGTTAGGAAGTTTACCTCGCGTTCTAGTTTGTCCCTTAGTCAGTATAGCCCAGCCGATCCACAACAGCAGGTTCTCACGTTGCCAAGGGTATTATTTCTATTATTTTTATTATTACTGTTATCATTTCTGTATTCATTGTCGTATCAAATAAATTCACTTGATCCAGTTTGAGTCATTTCCGATCTCGTAATTTCCTCACTGTGCGGGTAACGTACAGCATTTACCCCACAGTATCATTTTATGAAATCAATAAGCATTCAAGAGGGAAAAAGCAGAATTTGAACTAAATGTTAACCTAGGTAAAATTTAGTGCATTGATGATAACCAAGTAATGATCATACAATAACAGATTAATCACTTAATTCCTAAACATTAGCAGTATTATGTTTAAAACTAATAGGTAATTTTCAACACTTGGAGTTTGTGTCACTTGAAAAGTGAAATGGGCTCTTAAATAAATAAATGATGCAACCTATGCGACACAAGTTAATTTTGCCATCAAATTAAATACATTTCACGGTTATTTGCCACTCAACCGCACAAGTTGCAATGCAATATAATGAGCAAGTTCACCTGTTGCCTGCCGGGGAAGCGAGGAGGGGGCGTGCGCTTCTTCCTGAGTTCTCTACTCCTGTTCCTCACAACCTTGCTGTGGATGGCGCAGGACACGCAGTAATGCTGCTTGATGTACAACTTCGGCAGTTGGTAGCCTGATGGAACAAGTTTTCAGGTCTTTAAATAAAACACTATACAAGTTTCCAAATAATATGAAAACCATGACTCACATGAGGTAATTTTTTTCTACTAGTGTACTTGTTTTACTGCGTCTGTTTGAATATTCAGAACAAAGTCTAATGGATGATGCCAGGATGCATATCAAAATAGGCGACATCTTTTTGGGACTAGAGAAAGTAAATTGATTATGGACCCAATCCGAATAAAATTTGAAAATAAGGCAAGTCAATTCTTCGTGAATCAAAATGAATTGACAGAAAAATCTGCATAGATATTAAAAACGTGATTAAGCAAGGAATGGTGGAGGTGGAAAAGCACAAGGGTGGTACCACCCTTGTGCATTCTTTGTTATTTTTGTGAATAAGTCGGCTGGAAACATAGAGAGCAAGGCAAAGAAAAACTAATATATGAGGAATGAAATATCCTGCTTAGTGAGAAGGGTGGGTATGGCAGGATGTTGTACAAAAATTGACAAGATCGGAACTAAAGGGCCCATGTAAACTGCGGAGAAGGCCTTGAAGAAAAGACATGAGATGGTTTACCTGTAGGGAGCAGCTCTACAATAAGGTTGGGCAATAGTTTGAATCTTAGGTATGGACAATATCTCAGTCTTATCTAACTTGAACGTGAGCAAATGGGCATGTTTAGAGACTAATTATCGAAGAAGTGATTAAGCAGGAAGCATGGGTGTATATGCCCCAAAACCTGGGAACCAATGAGATAAAATGTCACCATATTATGTGTGACCGCGAGTGACAAGTGTATATGAAACAACAGGAGGAATAAGAAAACTGTGGAGAACTGATGTAATCCAAGGTTCAGGAGTGTGATGTTGGCTATGGCTATTGGCAAAAAATATTCAGAGCATGTTTAGCACGGATAAGTGGAATGGGAATAGCCAAGTTTGATGCCTAGAGTGTGGAAGTACAAAAAATTAACATAAACTTGAAACAAACAATTATAGCGTTTGGAATAACTATAAATTATTTCATTTCAAGAGAATGTTGCTAAGCAGATAGCTAACTTAAAGTTTCCCCTACCTAGCACTCTTGAGCCACCAATCCTTTAATTGTCCAAAAACATGTAATTGACAAGATGAAGAACCAGACATTTTATTTATGTACTGAAAGAATAAAATTTAAAATATTTCAGTTACAACCCTCCTGTGTATCATTACAACTTTATCATGCAAATAATTCAAGATGTTAGTTAGAGACTGGCAAGGGTGCAGTCAAAAACAAGGTAAAGTGACATCTAGAAAACACAACAATCAGGTAAGGAACCATGTATTACTGGCATATGCAGATGCTTCATTGATGTCCTTCACTGCAGCAGCCTCAACAATGTTCCTGATTTGGAACTTTTTGATGGCCTTATCCTTCGGGACACAGCGGCCGCAGTTGGTGCAGCGCACAGGCTTGACGTGTCCACGGCCCTTCTTGGCACGTCCATGATTACGCCTCTTGATAGTCTGGAAAAACATCAATGGTTACTTGTCATATGGATAACCTATAAAGATATTGCCAACTTTGTTTAAAAGAAATTACATGTTAAGTGAAAATATTGTCTATTACACCCATCAGCCATGGAAATTTTTTATAATTTTACTTACATAAAGTTTTTGACAATGCTACATGTTCCAAGCCAATAGAGTTATACATTTCTAAATATATACTTGGTTTTAGCACTACATTTTCAAGATAATATAAGTGAAAAAAATGAGGATTCAAGTTTGCATCAGCCACCATTCCTAGAATACCAAATAGGAATCTAGAGCAGTAGAACATCTGGAATATTAAAACAGATTTTTCTTGCCAGCCCTGTGAAATAATCATTTCACAAGAAGTAATCCAATCAGAAATGCTGGGGATAATATTAATTAAAATATTGCACATATTATTCATCTTATTAACAGGTGATTATTGAAAATTACAGGCAAAAATGTGCCTCTTCTCTTATTTTCAATGTAGAAATTAAAACTCTAATAACAGGTAAAATTGTTTGTAATAATTGACGCTAACCTCATTCACATGTGGCTTCTGCCATATTTCCAAGTTAGGCAAGTTTTTGTACCTAAAATCAAGAATTTTAGGTACAATAATCTTCTGTGTTGATACCAATTATTAATATGCGTTTAAAAATTAATTTTTAAAGACAACACTTCCAAAGAATCCAGTGTCTCCAATCTCACAAATGTACAATGAATTTCTCATTTAATTTTCAAATTAAAAATTTAGTTTTTCAATTTTTTTTAATATATAACTTTTTTAATATATAATTTTTTCAAAATTATTTATTCTGTTAATTGATTCATGCATTGCCTCTGACTTCACACAAGTGTGCAAAATTTCAGATCAATCAGACGGGTAAAAGTGTGTCAAATATCAGTTATAAGATTTGTAGCTGGAAAAATTATTTTTTCAATTTTTTTTAATATTAAAAAAATTACTTTTTTTTTATTTTTAAAATCTTTTATTTTGACATAAAAACTAGACACAAGGCAGACATAACATGACAAACTGAAACTAAGAAACAAGGTAGAACTATAGTAGAAGCCATCAGTGAATGAGCAAAAACCATCTTCATGGAATTCATAAATTTTTGCCATAATGTTGCATCTTAGGGTGGCATGGTGGGAAACCAATTTTTTAAAATCAGTTCATTTTTAATTTCCTCATTGACTGAAGATTTAAACTAATATCTTAGACTTCAGACTTGTGTATGATAATACTGGTATCTATGATACTGTACTGGTCTAGTGGCCTATTTGGAATATTAGCTGGAACTTTCCTAAAATTGCTAGTAAAAAGGATTTCTTCATAAGTGATTTACAAAAATTGCGGGTGAAAATAGGCTGCATTTCTTATTGAATTAGGAAAAGGCCATAGGAATGGGTGATATTGGCCAGATTCACAGGCGTTTTTTACCAATTCATAGGAGGCTTCTGCCCAATTTTCTTATAGGACTGAAAAAATAAACTTTGGGACAAGCCTAAAAAATTCTCTGCTAGTTTGCTCTGCCTCTATGCCAGGGTGCAGAAAGTGGGTGAATATCTAAAGATCTTTGGTGATGCATCAGCCTTCAGAAGATCTTGCCAACACATTTGGATTTCAGTAATTGCAGTTTAGAAATAACTTTTAAATTATTGTGATTAGTCACTGCAAATCTGAAACACCACAAGCGCACACAGTAAGGTTTCTGGTACATTGGATGGATCAGGATGCAGTGAAGCTCGTCTGGAAATCAGTTGCAATGACTGACTGAGCTGTGAGCATAAGTGTTGCAGTGTGTGGAGAGCAAGAGATTTGCTATCAAAGTTGTTAGCAGCATTTTCTTGCTAAAAATTACCCGGCAAGGCATCTCAAAAATGGCCTGAAACCCTTTGGGCAAAAAATCCATAGCTAGCCAGCCTAGCCCATCTAGGCAATGCTGCTTGCACCCTGGCCTCTATGCTGACTATTGCCGAGTGTTCAGGGTGGTATAGCTACATTATACAACAATCTAGGAATGGTGGATCATACATTGGAGAGTGATGCAGATTGCAGCCTGCCATGCCTTGTAACTTATCAGTTCAAAAATATTAGCTAAATAGAAAATGATAAAATAGCTTCAAATTTTTAGATCAAATATGACATGTGGGCTTTTTCATAATATATAGGTTATTGGCCCCTCTTTAAATTTCACCCTGACTTAAAGGATGCACAATTGGTAATACTTTACTTTAGATCAAGTGCATCCAAAAAACGGGTGTTTTTTCCAATTGTTTTTTGGGGTGTAGATTAAGACCCTTTTTTGTAGGATGCACTTGTTACACCTGTAGACCCTTTTTTGGATGCACTTAATCTTTCTAAAGTAATACCGCACAATTTATTAGCAATATTAGCATATAGTTTTAAAGGAAATATCTGCCTTGCAAGTTTAAAATTTACAAAAATGATCAATCTTTTATCAATCATTAAGATTTCGGTCATTCCTGTAGGTAGGTATAACCATTGCTGTAGGTACAATAGACTAGCCTACCTACCTAGTAGGCTAGTACCTAAATAATGACAAGAAGTCTGTCATTCAACTTGAAAAGAATAAAAAAAAGATTGCGGAACTCAAGTAACAGTATAAGCAATATTAGGACATTTCGAATGCCCGAACAGAAATAAAAATCCTGCTAATACGTTTAACTTGTACTAATATTAATAGTAGTCAATCTAGGCCCCACTTATGACCACATCCAAAGTTACGCCGTTACGGTGGTATATTGAAGAGAAGATCTCGAAAAAATCTCTCTAAAATAAAATTACATATTATAAACAAATCTTAGATAAAAACTAAATAAGTAATTTACCATAATTTATTTCTGCAATATTGTAAACAAGCAAAATCGACTTTCAAGGGAGTCGGCTGGCGAAGTCACCGCACCAAAAACAAGGAGCACTCTAAACGAATCTTACAAAAGCCCATGCATGTTGTAAGAGGGAAAATTTTTAGGGAATGGCATAAGTAAATATTATAAGACATCTTCACATTACGGATAATACTAAGTTATATTTTATTATTCTCTAAAATTATTTGAGTACTACCATATCAAATTTTTAAACTCTTCAAAAACGTTAAAAAATCTCGGCACACAAACTACATCGTATGTTGTGGACATAATCTTTTCAGGCTGTTATCTTTTGCAAATTAGCAATAACGCTAAAATGTTAAAATCAAAAGCATTTATTAATTAAAACATATTTTAATTGATTAAAAGGAGTTTTCACTTAACGACATTTCCGCGGCCGATTTTGCAGTCGGTTTTCACTGACCAAGAATTATCTTTCTAACTACTGAATACGTTGTAGTGAAACTTCATTAACAAAGTCAATGAAAAATAATTGCTTAACGCATTTCAATTAAATTTCAAAACAGAAGCAATCAGTGAGACTGCAATCGCGAACGGTGTAGCTCATGCTAAAGCACTTTTTTCAAAGTGGTTTCTTTCCCGAGCTCGTATTAGCATGGTTGAAATTCGACCATGCGCATTAGCACTCTACTCGGTTAGGTCGTGAGAAATTTATGTGGTTGTGAGATGATACGGAACATAAGTCGTCGTGACTAAGAAAATTATTCAGACCTGGTAATGATATTTCTAGAAAACCTGGTAATTTTTAAGAATTTTTTTCAGACCTGGTAAAGATATGTATTTCAAGAAAAAGGTCTCGATTAATACTTTATTCCGGAGATACACGAATATAGGCGCTAGCTACCACATTTCCTTGGCCGGACTTGCAGCCGACCGTGAAATTCGCATCGCTCTTAATGTAGAGAGAGACGTGTTCCAACTAACAATTAACCCACTACGTTCATTTAACTCAGTTTGACATTCGAGAGACAATTTCCTTCGAGATTATTGGCGAATTTGCGATTCAAGGAGACTAATGACATAAATATCTAATAAATGTGATACGCGTCCTCAAGAAGTGCTACCGAAATTTCGAGTGTTTATTTTAAAACGATGTCGCTATAACGAAACCGAAAGTGGAAGGTTAAAAATATTCAAACCAAAGCAGGGACAATCATCATCAACACATATTTTTGCCCGAAAGCTCACAGTGTAACAATCAAACGAATGGTCTAGGTAATAAACCGGATTGTACAGCGAGTTGTAGTTTGGTCCCAGCTACCTGCAACAGTTCTGGTCAAAATCGTCGAGATGGCCAGGCGATTAAGGCACAGCAGAATTGAAGCAGTGAGTTGAGTGTTTGAGACCGTAACAAGCTGTAAATATTCTGGATGTTAAGAATCGGCGACAGGCTTTCGGTATAATAAACGCTGAAGCTATTATTATTATCATTATTTTGAGAAACACTGCCTCTCAGGTTTCCAAGTTCTCATAATTCTTGGTGGCTCTTGGGTTCCGGAGGATATAGAGTGGCGACCTGCGACGTCGAAGAAGATGTGACGGCAGCGCTCCCTGTCTCTTGTGCCCCTGGGTCAGCAGCCACGAGTGTTATCCTCGATCTCATTCTACGGGAGTGAGAAAAACCGGATGGAATAACCACGGAGATTAAAAAAAATCAAACTACAATTCAAGAGAATAGCTTAATATGCTTAAGAGAATGGCTTAATATGCGTAATGGTTTGCGTTTTGTCGCAAATCGAAGCAGAGTGAGCAGAAAAAAAGAGGTTAAACACTTCTGAATGAGGTAATCAATGGTCCACATTTTCTTAGCAGTGAGATCTTAATCTCAATGTAAATCACAAACTTTTTCCAAAAACTCCATGTTAATAATTTCAGAGCTATGGAAAAATATATGTTCAGATTTGAAATGCTATAGCACCATATCAAACCCCGGAAACCCGGTGGAAGTCTAGTAGCTACTTCAAACTATCGTCAGTCATGAAAAGATCCGGTTAAATGACACGATTTTAGATCTTCTGTGAACAAGGCACGAAAAGGAAAAGAATCGGCGACATGCCACATCAGGCCTACACTTCAGCGCCGAGATCAATATGTTATGTTGATACCGCAATGGGTAGGAAGTTTGAACAAAAGAAAAAAAAATACGTTGAATTTATCGCTATGGATGAGTTATTCAGTCTACACCAAGAAATTAATCAGTACAAAACGGCAATATTTAGCATACTCAAAGAAATATTTGAAGCTTTGTCCAAATAAGGATGCATATTTAGCCATTTAGTGAGTAGGCCCAGTTTGGCCCGGGAAAAGGCGTTTCAGTGTTACGTATGCTATTTGCTCATGCAGTGTGTGAGAAAGTGTGTAGCTATTTGGACAATATGACCTGTTTGTTTTCTGTGCGGAGAACAAGTTATTTATTACAAGGGATAAACGCTCACGGTAGATCAGATTCTTCGTCGTTGTCATCGTCAAGACGAGGTGCCGTCCTGTTGCAAATGATCGCAAAAGCGAGGTCGCCAGGAAAGATGAGGTCGTCGTCGAACTGCACGATCACAGTCGTCGTGTCTCCGCCAGCTGCTGCGTCCTGTGGCCACACACTCAAGATGTTGGTTGAGTTGCTATACAGTCATATCTTAATAAAACTTTAATAAGATGTATTATAATTTCATTCTCAGGAATAATTTTTCCAATTGTGAAAACACTATGAGTAACGTGACTTCTTACAGTCGAAATAACACTGTGCATAAATAACGAAATATGTGATCATGTACCTTTATAAATATGTAGTTGCAAATATAAAACTAACAAAACATATTTGTTTATAATGAAATGTATACAGTCATCGATTAAATTGCGATGCTAAATAATTTATTTGAATTATTCAATTGAATAATTGAATTGTAAAAAAATATCTTTCATGAACAAGTCAAATGCACTCACAAATTTGACACCACATTCATTGTAAGAGAATTTGAGGGCAAAATCTTTCCCTCCGTTTGCTTTTCGGAAGCAGTTTGTGTTTTTAGAGCTAAAGCTGCCGCGTGTATACAGCACTCCGTCGAACTCTTCGTCGAGGCTGATGACGAACGCCATCTCTTGGTCGCCGCAGTCCACAACCGCGCGACTAAAACCTTCCGACGAGACTCCGATTTGTATGGCATCGCTCAGATCACTGCGCCATGTTTCTGTTGAAAGAACGACATCGAAGTGTTAGATTGTTTAGAATGCTGTTAAATGATGAGCTAACGATAATTAATGTTAATGATTTTCACGCTCGAATAAAAATATATATGATAACGATTGAGAAATATCTTTAAGGAAAAAATAAATTAATGTTAAAACGTAATTAGCTATTGTGAGTAGGCGATGAAGCTAATATTGGAGTTTGATTTTACCCAAACTTTTCATTAAATCATATTATAGACTATAGTACAATGAATTTCCATTGGAGACGAAATAAATACAGTGGCAACTTAAATAGGTGTCAGCCATGATGGTAGTTCTGTGTAAAAAATTTATAGTTTATTAGCAGCGTAACAAAAAGATGCCTTGTGTGATACAATGGATTGTGATGCATCAATGAACACAAGTTCAAGCTAGGTAGAAATACAAGTAAAATATTATTTAATACCTACTATTATAGTTATACAAAAAATCAGCACAAAAAATTGATAAGAATGATTGTGATTCACCATGTTTTCAATTTCAACACCTAATGACAAAAGACAAACTGACTAAATTTACCTTGTTTGGCATTGACTGCTGCTGTCCAGACACAGGAAAAAATTATACATGTAAAACTAACAAACATATTTCCTTTCATCGGGACACATACATATAAATCAAAACAATTTACACGAGTTCAATTTCTACCTTACATATGAAATACATAGAAAAATACTTAAAATGAAAATATTTATTTAAGTAATGGTTTCACGATGAGCATCAACTCTGACGATCAAGCAGTTTATATTGTTGTAAAAGTGTATACATTGTTAGGTTACGTTAGGTAACCTACGCATTACGCAATATAGTTTATTCTACAAAAATATACATGAAAAACCTGCCACACTAAAAACAGTTTCAATATCCCTACTACAATTGTGCAGAAAAACAATGTGAGCACTTGCCAAATTAAATTTGTAAATGTCATAGGCGGTAGATTTACAGCAAGTAATACTCTGAATTGGAGGGAAAGTCATTTGCAAAGGAAACTGATAATAAACATTTGACTCGATTTCCAAAATATTGCAGGTCGCTGGTAGTAGACAACGGGAATAATAAGGCTTTTTGACAAAGCACGTTCTGCAAAAACTGTTCAACACGACAACACCAATAGCAAATCTGACGTGTTCAGCTCTGTCGTCAAGATAACAATGTAGCTGCAGCTTGCACGTCGTGGCCAGTCAGTTATTTGCGGTAGGTATGTCGTAGGTACAAGCTAGGCTCTGCAGCAACGCCAACAGTTTCAGTGTTGCTCAGCAGTTTCGTGCATAACAATGAAACCATACGTCGTTGTTAACACCTTTACAATGCTTAATCGTACCAGATATAGTAAAGAATCAGAATTTTATTTTGCAAGTGACATGATGGAAGATCTACAAACCAGTAGATAATTACGAAATTCCAAAGGCCAAGCACATCCAGGAAGGACGGCCGACCAAATTCATGTAACTCAAAGGTAAGTAAAACCGAACGGAATACGAAGACGCAGGTTTCTAATCATGTCATGGAATACATATTCAAGTCCTCAGAATACAAGACATTCCAAACATTTTCATCATCAGTTATGATCCGTAATAAATAAGTAGGATTGATTTAATAGTTGATCCGAAGCATCACAACATCAACATGGTCTGTTACTGCGAGACCATGACATGAGATCATAAAGGCGACATTCGGTTAAACTTCAATATTACGCAGCTCCATTCCTTCTAATACATTCATGTCTGATAAATTTAGACAAACGGAGACATAATTCAGTCCCAGATGGTGAGAAATCACTTCCATTAACAGGTACAATTGCCACAGCGTTCCTGCACCGCACTTCTTCCTTCCAGAGTCGTAAGCAATCTGTGGAGCTCAACTCGTCGCAAGTCGCAACCGGACTTGGAAGTGAGCAGTCAGGTTAGGTGTCTTCTCTGTCCAAGGTTTCCTTTCACTTTCATTCCTTGCTCATCCTCACGCTTGCCCCTGCCGGCATGCCTAATTCCCGTAAGATTCAGAGCATTGTATACATATTCTTTGTTATTTCACTCTTGAGACACCTATATTCGATGAAAAGCAATTTTTCGTTCATGAACATGTTATATAAACGTTTAGCGTTCATTCAAGCATTTGAATTTTGGAAAGGAATGAACAGGAAAATTCCGTCTTGACAAACGTAATTTCAATGTATCTACTAAGGGAATGATACGATTTGAATTTAAGTTTAAATGTTACCAGCAAAGAAATCCTTTTGAACTTGATTCATCATTTCAGTGAATCCTTTTACTTTAGCACAGACTGACAACGCGCGTCAAGTAATTAGTGATTACGGAAACCTTTATATAATAAGACTAGCAGTCCGGTCTGCTGTCAAGAAGGATCCAATCAGAAACAGACAGGCAGTGTACACAGTTTATTTGTCAGAAGTTTTTTGCGCGAGTTACGTGCGTGCCTTTCTGAAGACTAGTGAAGAGCAAATAACTGTTGCAAACAGGAGTCGAGTTAGTTGATACAGCCACGCATATCATGTCCTTAAATAATTTTAAAAACTTATAGTGCCGTGTGTTTTTTAAATGAGTTAACCCAAGCTTTTGTCTCCCTGGCTTAGCTATACGAGGGTTAAAATGAGATAATCATTGCAATAGATTCGGGTCGCGGAGACAAAATGTTGGTCGACAGAAAGATTACGTTAAGATTTCCAAACATTTTAATCATCAGTAATAAATAATTAGGATTGATTTAATAGTTGAACAGAATAATGACAGAAAATTCAAGGCACAGTAACTCGTACTTTTCTATAAGCTTCAAAAGATCCTAAATGAACAATCCCAGAGTCTCATCTTACCGTAACATATTAAGGTGATATCCTCCTTTTTAACAAACACAATCTAAAGGGACGAAGAAGCTATTCAATGTTAAAAGACATGATACATATGATCAGCGAAGGCCCAAGTGAAATGCTTCAGCAAACATCATGTAGACAAAATAAATGAATCGAAAATCATTGTCAGAATTATACATTGAAATCGTTCTATAAAAACAGAAGAGTTAAGGGTTTATTACAGATCACACAGAATTTGAAATAAAAATGGCGATATAAACAACCACTCGAAATTACTGTACCGATAAGTTATATTTTATTAGTAGCTCTATGACAGTCGATAGTGAACGGTTACAGTGAACTCCAAGTGAAGAGAGTGCAAACAGTAAGCCTGGAAGGTGATTAAGTGTGATGCTTTAATCTGTACGAACAGTAAGATCACTACACTTGGACTACATGCTACTAGCACGAAACAACTACGTAGATAGGTAATAAAATTGAAGAATTGCGTCAGCCCCTCGAATACCTCATGATTTTCTACTGTGAGAGTTCAGTTGAAACCCAAAATTATACATACCTAATCATATGGTATCCCACTCAAAAAATAATCAAAATTAGATACAACAGTAAGTACATAATGAGACACAGACCTCCTCGCACGCAGCGCCGTGGCTGAGGAAAGAAACAGTAGGCGATGGTAAAGATAGTTTATAATGTAGTAATTGTAGAAGCAACATTCACGTAGCCAGAAAACCTTTGGTCAGAAAACCTTTGGTTGTCATGCAGCACAAATAATAAATCATCAAATTATAATGTTGATTAACCACGCGTTACATTTACTCAATAAATATTAAACAATGAAAAGGTTTTAGCATATTGCAGCTCATTCAATGACATTGCTGAGTGAAAAAAAAATAGAAATATGGCGCTGAAGTGACTTTCGGTACCAGATGACAAATCAATGACGAGAGCTTTACAGAAAAGCAACGCAATTTTGTAGGTCGGTAGCAACGAAGCGTCATCAAAGTTTTTCTATTCAACTTTTCAACAAGTCCCAAAAGTTAGCTAAATTAACCCTTTCGCCAGAGTTCAAAGTCCTACACTAACATCGTCGATGTATCACAAAAAACGGCAAGCCTTCCACTTAACCATAACGGCAAAAACCTTCCGTTATATTACTGCAAGCCATCATGATCGATTGATGTATTGAAGAATCAAACGCACTGATTTTCATAAGATAAGCTATAATCCACTGCTTTTCTACCAGGACGGAAAATACTGAGATCCGTAGGAGATATATAAATATTCATACAGGATCAAAAATAAGTTAGAAGCATCAAAATATTACGCTAGAGCAAGATGTTTATAATGTAACGAGTGTCATGGAAATCTGCACTAATTTTCCCATTTTATGAGTTAGGTATACTAGAAATATAGAGCAACATGTAAATATATATTATGTAGACGAACACTGAAGCACGAAGAAGCTTTCACAGCTTGGCGCGAAGGCAGGGCGGCAGAAGCTCTTAACATCAATAAAGGCCCGAGTGAATCGCCGAGCAAAATAGAAGGAAAAATGTTGTCGGGAGGTACTTTAGAAGAAAAATGTTGTCGGGAGGTACTTTAGAAGAAAAATGTTGTCGGGAGGTAAGTAGAAGGTAATTGTTGTCGGGAGGTAAGGAGAGGGAAAATGTTGTCGGGATGTAAATAGAAGGAAAATGTTGTCGGGGGGTAATTAGAAGGAAAATGTTGTCGGGAGGTAAATAGATGGAAAATGTTGTCGGGAGGTAAGTAGAGGGAAAATTTACCGAAGGGAGTGACACACTTTGGTCGCACCGTCAGACTCGATGACACTTGCTAACAGATTTGGGTATTGATGCCTAAATGTCACTTAATTCCCAGCTCTTATTGGGCTATTCATAGGAGTTATTATACTAAGATAAACGGTCGTGACGAATTCGTTTCCATATTTTTCATGTACTGCGGACGACAACAGGACAGCGGCTGATGATCTGTTTCATTACTGAGCATCATTAAGATTCCCTGGTCAGCTGACCGAGTTGGCAATTAAAATGCCTGACGAAAAGTGGAAAAATAAACAAAAGTAAAAGAGTTCAATAAATGAGAATATTATCGAAAAAGCTTTAGTTTGTCCGGAACATCACTCAGGCCTCTATATGATGGAAAGCATTGCAAGGTACAGCAGACACTGAGCCCACAGCGAACGCCAAACTTTATTATCTATATTGTACTTCATCTAGAAGCTATTAAGACCGCAGAAGCTCTATGATATGCTTTACGTTATTACACTACAACCCACACCTATATTGTAAAGCCGAGGTATGCAGCGCTAGAGTTCTTCTCGGACGCAGACATAGACAACACCAACATGAAGATTATTGAACATTTTCAGTTAAAGATGCGGCTTTGCTGCAGAAAAATACTATGTCTTAAGATTAAAGAATTAGCATGAACTACAACTCACTATAGGAGCATTTAAGCGACGTCAGCTTTCACAACATTGAGACGACAACGAACCTGAAACCCCCTCCCCCATAAAGTTTACTTAATGTAATGGACGTTAATAATCTCTTAAAAACAGTTTTTATGGCTACGACGTCCATACACCCGGACCGTCTCTCACTCTGCTCCTCATCATACTTATTCAACACTCAAATGGTCATTGTGTGACAAAATGGAGAAATTCGAGACAAGATGTTGACTACAATTAAATCAATCTATAATTTACAAAAATATCTTGTTAATTTGCATAACATTTCAACAGATTTCGTTTGTATTCGGTGCGAAATTCAAAAGACTGAAATCGCTTATGCCTTAAAAAAACAAATGAAGTTTGCACTTGAATCTAAATATATAAGGGAAATCAAAAATCAATCATAAGGGATATCCCTGAAGTAAAAAATTAGTAATTCTGATAAAAAAAGAACAAGATAGAATTAAATATTAGAGCTGGACGTAACTCCTTATAGATTGTGAAGCGGCCAAGCGCATTAATACATTTTGTATGCATTACGAGTCAAGAGAGCATTTCTCACTCTAAATAATATATTGAAATTGAAGCATCAAGCCATTCAAGAACTTGAATCTTCATTAGGAGGTACGTTTCTAGACAAAGCATGATTTTCGGCCTATCATGTCAAATTGAATACAGCTGTCTAAGGTTAGTGAGACACATAGTCGCAGCATTTTAAAGAGTTACACAAGATAGAATCCCGCATTATAAAAGCCTTAGTAGCAACCCTCAAGTAACACACTACGGTCAGGACTACGACACGAAGCTCAGTTTATTGTCGCATTCTTCTTGAGTAGTAACATGGATACACCGATAACTAGAGCGTACTATCACGTACTGGAAGTCATAATACAACCCCCACCAACAACGCTTGTTCTTCACAAATTTCTTGAATCTAAAATAATTCATGACCATGCGAAGTGGACAGTTTTTTATGGCCAGCTCGTTGACAGTGCCATGGGAAGAATATCGTTAGCATATCGGAAGAAGATTAACGTAGAGAACATTGCAGCTCAGGAATAGAAAGAGGCATTACGAGAGGTCGCTTACTTAGGCTAATACTCGAGCAGTTGGTAACCGCTCACTTAGTTGATTAAATGGCGACATGGTTTACAGCGTATCACATATTATGTTATCTCGCCACGGAAATTTCCAATTATAGAACTGACGCCTCACGACAACATAAGTCTTTTAACAAGTCAACATACGCTTCAGGAAACCCGGCTGGTGGAATATATTGTCGGTTTATTGTCGAGGTATAATATTTAATTACAGTCAGGTGGGTAGCACGAGATCTCATTGCTGTTCACACAATAACTGAATAGAAATTTTTTCATATTAAAATTATTGAGGTTAGTAATAGCCAGTAAAAACAGAAAAATTCGCGATAAAAAATAACCTATGACGAAGTTATGAACTTGGCGCAAGAGGTTAACTCCAACTCCAAATGCAAAACAAGAACATTATTTCGTCACGGAATTTGACGAAGCACATACATAGCCTTCGATGGAAGCAAGATCTTGCTAAATCTTGCAAGATCTTGCTAAATCCCTCATAAACCGCCTCTATTCCATGAAAGTTGACAAGAAAGCGAATTTATCAGCGAAGCCAAATAATGCAATTCATACGATGCAATACAGCTGACGTTACAATGCAAACAATGCAAAAACGATTGACAGCAATTCAACGAGGCTTATACATGTTTTTACTAAGCAAAAAAATAATAATAAACGAGCAACTGACATATGCAAGTTGTATAATTCTAGCAAGTTTAACTGCATAGACAAATAAATTTACCGTATACAGAATAATATCAATATCATAAGTCATCATTTTCAATGTCGGAGCAGAATCGTCATTTACTGAGGGAGGCGCGCGTACAAATTTAAAAACAGTGCGAGACAAGCACTGGACAGCGAGATCAGAAGACACCACTTTCCATGCCCAAATATTTCCGCTATTTTTCCTTGCCAGGGATGAAACTACAAGTAGAAACTATATCCACAAACGGGTAAGACGCTACGTGAAAAATGAACAGAAAACTAGAGAAGCTAGAATGTCGCAAAAGGAGATCTTATGGCGCCCCAGTAAGCTAGAGGTTATCTTGTGTTCTCGTTGAAGAAAAAGCCAAGAGTCATTACTCACGGGAAAACGCGTATCTTCATTGAAATTAAAAAACGATCTCACTCGAGATGTTTAGCATTAAGGTACAATTGAGGTTAGGTTTGCTCCTGACAATAATCCTCGGTATGAATTTCAGTTTCTGCAATGCTGGGATTCTATGAGAATGGGAAAAACCCGCGGTCACCCCACATTATACCCCAAAAACACTTCACAACATTCAACCGGTCCTTTAGTACCCATATAGTAATCAAGAACGCAGATAAATGGTAAATATTATGTATGGCAGAGGTGCAACGGATCCCAGCTGTCTAATAATTCACGACATGAACAACGATGACTGCGACGGCCAACCATATAGTAAAGTTCTAAATATATCTTCATTTTTAAAGCCGTTTTGAGTTCGATGAACGGTAGGAAAACATCATTATTGAAGAGTCATTAGGAAACCATAAATAATTTTGGAAACTTGTTATACCTGATTACAAAGGCATAAAATAATATTCAAAAGGAACACATCCTTCAAGTCTAAAAAAAATTCTGAATAAAACATAACACAAGGCTTGGCATACAATAAGATATACTGATAAGCAGGAGAGAAACTTCAATAGGGCGCACAAAATACTGCCGACAGCACTGAAGGCATGTCTTGTCATTGCAATTTATAGAGGAAATTTATTCCAAGCGAGTGCCTACTTGCTTCTAGTTTCAGGAAGCTTCGACTTGAACGCATATAATCTTAAAACATTTGAGGATACATATCATCTTTATATCAATAAATTGGTCACAGTTAAATCGTAAGTTTAACAGCATCATCCACTTGAACACACTAATAGCTCATCATTCGGCCTGAATCAGTTGATCGACAACAGCAAGGAAATGGGCTAGAAACATCGTAATGTATGTCTAAAAAAAATTGGATGCACTTTGAAGCAAAATAATGTAGTTAGCTAATAAACTTAAGCACATTCAGTTTTCTAAATTTTCGAGATCTGAAATAGAAATAAGAATCAGACAGACGGCTTCCGCAACATAATTGGTTATTCAATAAACGAGACTAAAAAAAGCACTCGGTTAAACCGTAAAGCCAACAGAAAATGTGTTAATTGTCAAATCTTGCATCCAATATAGCCGAAGAATAATATCATTCGAATAAACGTAATGAACTACTCGTATAAGTAGGAAACCATGAAATAAAAGCAAAAGAGAATGGCAAACTGTTTGGCTTTCAGCAGAAAGAAATGCAACTCAATTGCAACGCGTCACAGCGCAAATCTCATCTACATGAAGTGATGAACTAAAAACACGACACAAGCAACGGTATAACCCTAGCATGTTGCTAATACTGATCAGCACAAAGGTCCTTAAGGCGTAGCATGTGTCACCAAGCTTGTCATCAGGATAAGCTAAAACAGTAGGATTTTGTTCCCTCATTTTAAGCATTAACTTAACAGTTATATATAACTACTTAATGCTATCAATGAACTTGGCTTTTATAACTATGTATTGTTAGGATTTCAACGTTGACTACCGTAGAATAGGTACACAAGATTTTCAAAATCCTAGCGGCTTTGATTTAAATATTTCAGGATAACGGCTGAAGTCCCTTATTCAATTTCATTCATTTATATAATAAGCGAATGAAGAGTTTTTGATTGCAACAAATCTTCTTCCATTGATGCAAAAGGTCAGACCGGTAGTCACTATGAAATTTATGCATTATTGGAAGACACTAACATTGCTGTCAATATTTTATAAATACAGCCGACATTACTGGATGGAAGCTTGAAATTGATTTCGATAATAATTAAACATTACTCAAGCTTCGGCTATATGACACCCATGATAAGAAGAGAGGAAATTTCCATCACAAAAATTATTGAGTTATAGAACAGGAGACATAGATACTTGATTGGTGTCATCATTCCAGGAAATATTGCATCAAATAAAACGAAAAATCGACAGCTGAGCGGCAAGCAATCGAGTCAAGAGGACAGTTACGCTGTAATAATACAAAATAAATATAATTTTGAGTAAAACAAAGCATGAACCTAGCTGCAAGTTGCCAGAGGCTCAAAATGAGATATCTAAAGAGTACTTCCGTTATTTAAGCGAGTTTTATTGCTAACATTGCACAGGGCAGCAGCGCAGCGTTTTCCTGCTGATCAGTTGTCCATCTCATTGATTTCATCGAGATGGACAAGAAGAGGAGACGCTTTTGTTTGTGTTGGAAGAGAGGGAAGAGAACCCGCTCTGACAAGACTGAAGGCTCGACATGCTACCTTTATAGTCAGCTGACTTCAAGGTCTCAAAGTAGTACATAATCTGAGCCTTTGGAGCCGTGATGTTATCCAGGATGTCCAAAGGAGAGCCGTGACCTGTAGCCTCTTGATATTTCCACTGCAAGATGTACGTACCCGAGCTGCGGGTAACGTGAGATCCTTGGATGCTTTCGCCGTCGCGACACAAGAGATGAGGCTCTTCTACGAAGTAGTCGCATCCCTCTTTCCAGGTCTTATCAATGACAGATGTCTTCTCACTCTCAGATGATGCCATGGCAATTTTGGTGGCAGCAGCGTCGGCAGCAGAATTTGTTTCGACGTTAGCTGCAGCCCTGTTGGCTACAGGAGTCTTAGTCCTCATCACAGTGAAGGTAACATCGCTCTTCATGATGTCAAAGTCCCAGCAGATAACGGCCCCGGGTTCCTTGATGAGCAGCAAGACTTCATGCACTTGAGCTCGAGAAAGCGACACCGACCGATAAATACTGTGGTCTGACAGCTGGAGGTGTTGTCTACCCCCAGCCTCTATTTCTTCACCGGGCAAGTAGAGACACTTAGGAACCAGACCTCCTTCGCCGACTGAGGTCGCGCATTTGCCATTCAGGAATTCAGGGATGTGATCTTCAGACATGTAGTCAACCAGGCCACCTGCCTCCTGGTAGTCATTGCCACCATAGAATAGGAACTTGGACCGCGTGTGTTCGTCGATGAAGGTTGACACGAGGGTCCAGAGGATTGGGAATACGCGAGGTGCTCGTACGATGAGCACCTGACTCATGGTCTCAGGGTAGTTGTTCTCGACAAGCTCGATAATAGTGAGGAGGGTCTTAATGCCTGGTCTCCACAAGTGCCGCATGTTAAGTCCCTCAAGATCCACGAGAAGCGTCCACGTCGTAATGGGGTGGCCATACTCCGCTGTTGCTTCCTCAGTGAGACGCAAGCCTTCCTCACAAATAGCGAGCGTGTGACGCAACAGACCTTCTTCCCCAACACTCTTGACGAGACCTTTGACATCCATGTGTCCAAGGCGCAGCAGAAAGAGCGGTCTGCCCTCCTTGTCAGAGTAGTGCCAGCCGCCAGGGAAGTACTGCGTCAGCACTGAGGACGGCTGGTAGTCGCTGATGATCTTGTCGACTTGGTTCCTCTTGCGCCACAGCAGCGACTGGCTCAGCATCTCGCGGCTCTTCTCGAGGTGGAAGTCGCGAGCTCGCAGGAAACGCAGCAATGTCGCGTCACTTGGTGCCTGAGAAAACATGTAACATTAGTGAGAGGTCAAGCAAGTTCATTCACATCAATCAGAGCCTGAACAAATTCTCTCAAGTTATTTTTCCGTAACAAGGATAAACAGAAAATAACTCACATTCTGAATCCATTTTTCTCAAGTCAAATGTTTAGAATAAAATAGAGACATTAGACAGAACTAGCAAATTAAATGTTGCTTCTTGCAAAATCGCCTCAAATTTCAAGTTTGACTGCAAAATTATTTCAACGTCGATATATAACTTGAATGTTGTTTCATTTTATAACCAATTTGCCAAACTTTTCTGTACATAAATAATTTAAATTGAAGTCTTTAAGGACCCGTTTAGCAACAAATAAACGAATGTCAAGAATACTTATACGGGAAAGTAAAGTTGAAGGGAACAAAAACAGGCTAATACTTATTTTTAATAATCAAATAATAAAGTAATAACCTAATAAAGAGGCTGAGAGGGTATAGGGGCATACTCCCCTCTTATCCCTCGATCCCTGCGAACTCACTTTGCCCTTCTGCAGCTTGCTGACCCATTTTTTGAGTTGCACAAGACGGGACTCCTGCAGGGGCGTGAGGTCGCCAAGACACGCGGCAATGTAGTCCGAGTCGAGTTTGTCTCGGCCGTCTGCACACATCACGCCATAAGCACCACACACACAAAGCGGCAGGAGGCTTGTGTTAAAGGTTCGTTAAGACGTGACACAGCGAGGGAAATTATGGAGCTGTTGTGTGTGAACGGGTTAGCACTTTCGGCCCAAACGGAGCAATTTCGTCTGACAGTGTGAGGGGTTTGTATCTATATCGCTCGGGAGATTAACTGTCATGATGATGATGATGATGATGGTGGTGGTAAAAAGGCCTTTAAAACTGCAACCATAAACATCAAAAAATCACAGGCTTGTGTGAAAATAAATCCTTGAAGCAAGGTAAACAGGTAATCATAGACGTCCATAAATGACTAAGTGACCACGGAAAACATGCAAGCCACTAGAAGGCGAGACTTCTATGAAACCTTCCTCTTATTCATCTTTCAGGTAAAATATTTGTGGGTGTGGAGCCATTGGCAATGTTAGCCCTAGCATCACGTAGGGGTTTGCACACAGGAAATTGGGGGAATGACAATCAGGGAGATTTTGCAAAGCAAATTATATAGTAATATTCTGAGGTGATCTAAGTGGAAAATTAACACTACACCGATCTAAATTTCAAAATATGATTAGAGTAAGAATAAAGGCGTAACTGACCGTCAATACTGAGGCTTTCATCATGAGAAAACGAGGCTTTCTTGACGGCGCCTTTAGTTTTGTCATCAGATTCTTCTCTTTTATCTTTGAATCCTCCATCACTGTCCACCGAATCCTTCTTCTTACGTTCCTTCCTGGACCCATGAGTGCTACCCAGTGAATCTTTACGATGTTTCTTGATACTGTCGCGTCCTTCTTTGTTGTGTTTGACGGCTTCGTCTGTGTCACACTCGGGAATTGTTTCCACAGACAACGACTCGAGTCTCTTGCCTTGTTCCTCCACGGTGTCCTGACTAGCAGCGTCATCAGCGTCCACGAAGTCATCATCACTCTCGTCTTCCTCGTCATCACCTTCAGGAGTGCCTGCGCCATCAGCGACGCTTCCCTCAGGAGGCTGCCAACGCGGTACTGATGTCACGCCTTCCTTCTCCAGGACGTCCAGGAAGTGCTGGATGATTTCTTTGCCCTGAAGTAAAGATGTAATCCAACTGATAATTTATACATCATTGAACTGACATGTTTTGATGATGATGCTGCTGCTAATAAAAACAAAACTATACATACAAATGATCCATCATTAAACTGCAGTGGAAATACTTTGCAGTGATGTAAAGGTTGACTGATCTTATTCAGTCAACCAAAAATAATTAATCAAGACCATTAATTTCAATAAAGAAACTATCATTGGTTCTGTTGAACATAATCAAGGCCTAGTAATTTATGTGATGCTCTTCTTTAAGTCTGAATCAAGTTGAAATGACACACAAAGGAAGATCTCAGAGCGCCTGAAGTGCACAAACCTTTGAGATATTCTGTGAATACTGCTTCATAGCAAGCTTCTCCACTGTGCTCTCAAAGCCAAAGAAACTCTTTACATCCAACTTGGCCGTTTGCTCAAAACACGTCCACTCGGGATTCTCAGGATGAACCTGAAAGGAAAAATATTCATTCAGGTTTTGAAATGCAAGATCATAACTTTTGGACTGAGACATCATTTTTTTAATATAATTGATATATTTGTTTTACTACAAATGAAATTGAAGTCTAATGCCAATAAAAGTAATACTTACATGAAAAAAAGTAATACAGATTCAGTTTTTCCCTAAATGCTTGAACTGTTCAAAAAGCATTACATTAAATAAAAAAGGCTAAGTAAAGTAGCAGAACATCTACATTTTGTTTGTGAGTGAATGGATGACTGAAAAAGCTCAACATAAATTTAACTAATCAATTAGAAGAAAAATTAAAATACAATTTATTCAATTGTGATTTATTTTTGATCAGTTCATAAATCATTTAGAAACAATCATACAAAATATTTACAATACAAGAGCAAGATAAGTGAATTTTTTCATTTAAAATTAAATGAATACTTACAGAGTATTTGCAGGTTTCATTGATGATAACTCTTGAGGAAAAGCTCTCATTGTAGGCCTCAATTTCCAGCACTCTTTCACGTCGGTTCAAAGTGTTTGTCTGAACAAAGAACAGGAATTCTACCCCCATGATCTGTAAGTATTCAAAGCTGGTATTAGATATTCACATTTGATAAAAAAATAAATAGGATCACCTTGATGTTAACTTCCAAAAATCATTCTGTACATCATCTTGTGCACCATAATGAAAATGTCATTCTTCATTAATTATGAAAACCTAGAGTAAAAAAAATCTGTTGAGTATTTTAGTTTTTTTTATCAGGATACTTTTCAACTTTGAAGAAAATAACTTCAAAATATTTATTTATGAACTAAATTTTATATTAGAGCTTACTTTTTTGAGCAAGTAGGGCACTTCAGCATGAAGGCGACAGCGTCTGGAAATGACTTGAATTGCACCACCTTCAAGCTCCTCATCTTTGATGATGTCAGTGCCTGCCATGATGGGTATCAGGTCACAGCTTGGGAAGCGCATTTCATAGGCCTGAAAATTAAACCTTAGTTTGAAATATACATTTTATTCATACCCAAAATGTTAAATTAAGATTGTATTTTCCATCACAGCTCCATCAGAACCAAGCATGCAGTAAATTGGACTGATTAAAGTATAATGAATTGCAATTTTTTTTCTCAATTATGCGTGGCAGCATAGCTGCCAGTCATAATATACCATAGCTGCCAGGCATAATATAACAATGAACAGGAGGAATGACAACAAAAATTGTTCTCCTTTGCAACTATGCACGGCAACAAGGTGCAAGAATAAGATTTTGTCTCATGACATTGTCAAAGCTGTTGGGAGCAGCAGGGCGCAGGCCTTGAACTAATATGTACAGTCACTAGTATGCACAAGTTCATTGACTCATGGTGATAGAATACAATTGCATCATTTGGATCATGGTGTTGCTATATAGGTACAGGCATAGTCACACAATGCATGTATACAATCCTGAACCTCCCAGGCTCCCATTGATGTTCAAAATTTAAGGGGAGCGTCTGGGGGTAAGTCAAAATTTTTTGCTTTTCCAGTTTTTATGCTCATCTTAAAGCTTACTTTCTGCCGCATCGAATGGTACTAGAACCATCTCTGTACGTTGATTTATGCGTTCACAACAGATCCCAAAAGGGGGGAGGGTGGTGGGGTCCCTTCACAAAATCCTATAAAGATAATTACAGCTAAGCTCTATAAATGTGCTGTTGCTGGACCTACAGCTCAGTTACCCAACAGATATCATGCGGAGAGGTGTTGATAAAGTTGTCCTCTGCACTGCTGACTGACTTTGAAGTGAGCTAATGCTTACTTTTGGTATCTAAGCTACGTTACATGCCTTTACATAGCGTGCCACGGTTTTCCGCTTCTACTGAACAATTTGAAAACCTCTCTCATGCCAAACCTCCTCCTACAGTTTTGAAGCTACATCAATGAGACATATACCATTTGATTTGCAAAGAAAAGATCTACAAATCCCTGGTTGTGTTTTTCTAATTTCATTATAGTTTGGATTTTATTTTGCAAAAAGGGGGGTGTGGGGGGGGTAAAATAAAAAAATTTCCAAAAAATTTACAAAAAATGCACCCACACCCACAAAAATGATAAATTCAAAAAACGCTTACAGCTAATTATTGATATGGTCTTTGCACATCGAATGATATGTGTCTTGATGTTGTAGCTTGAAAATCCTAGGAGGAGACAGATTTCTACAGTACCCCCTTTTTTGGCTGTTTTCAAAGAATTTCACGTTTTCTTTCATTTTTTTTTTGAAAAATTCACACAATTTTTTTGAAAAATTCACACAATTTTTTTGAAAAATTCACACAAACAAAAATGTCTTAGAATTCTGCTTTACAGCAGAATTTAGAGCGCCCAGTCGGCTCTAAATTAACAAGCTTTGAAATACAAGAAGAAGAGGTTCTCAAGCGCCTTATCGCTGTAAATCCAAACAAGTCATGTGGACCAGACGGCTT